AGCAGGGAGCCCGATGCGGGACTCGATCCAGGGACTCCAGGATCATGACCTGAGCCGAAAGCAGTCGCTTAACCAACTGAGCCACCTAGGCACCCCCTGACAAATAAAACCTTAAAAAAAAAAAAAAGGAATAAAACATTCCCGAGGGTTGTCCAAAGAAAGCAAAAGATCCTAGAATCCTGCTGGGGTGACTTAGCAAATGGTAATAATTGTAAGACCCACCGTTCAGTGAGGACTTGTTCTGTAACACAGCTGCATACATGTTTTATCTCATTTAATCCTCATCACAGTGCGTGCTGGGAGTGGTAATACAGGTATCCCCGTTTTCCTGAAGTTTGCATTCCACCACTTTTCCAAAAAACCTACATTAATATCTGTTTTCATTAACCGAAAGGAGGATTTTCACTTTTACAAAAAGAGTCATTACTAATGTAGGTCTTTTGTAAAAGTAAAGTGGCATTAATGCTCAGAATGTGGGGGATGCCCCTTGTTTTATGCCCTTTTGGCTTATGAAAGGTTTCATAGCAACGCTCTACTTTTGGATAACAGGGGAAACCTGTATGCCCAGTTTATAGGTGAGCACATTGAGGCATAGTCACAAGTGCAGCCTGACCTCTGAGCCTGAGCTCTTAGCTCTTTGCTTTATCATTTTATCATTCTCTAAAAGCAGATACCTGTTCTTTCTCCTCTTCACAGAAGGGCTGACTTGTTGTTCTCAGGTTGTGAAGTGCAGGGTGGCAGGACCTTCCTCCTTGTCTGCTGTTCCTGTACTCACTTTGGAGGCATCAAAAACTATGATTTCTCACAGCTGTTCTGGCGTCTAATTTGCCGAGGCTTCCTGTGGAGCCAACCAGGTGCTGCTTTATGGAGCTGTTTTCTGGCTCCTGCCTCGGCAAGCCTGGCACTGCCCACAGGATCCGACCCCTGGGGCTTGGTGCTGTGGCTGCAGAGCGGAGGGATTGTCTGTGATTCTAAGACACTGCGAGAAATACAAGGAAAGGGTGCACTGTCTGATGTTAGAGTTTCTTTGTCCTGTGGTTTCTTCCCTTCTTTTTTTCTTTGTGTGGTTTTAAAATACTCTGAGGAAATTAACTATTTTAGATATAGTTGAGGTCCCCTGAGGTCATTCTCTCCCTCAGGATAGGTGACTGCTACTTGGAATTTGTACATTTGTTTCCCATCCTTTTCCCTTTATTTTTTTTTTTTTAAAGATTTTATTTATTTGAGAGAGAGAGCATGAGTAGAGGGAGGGACAGAGGGAGAGGGAGAAGCAGATACCCCGCAGAGCGGGGAGCCTGATGCGGGGCTCAATCCCAGGACCCCAAGATCATGACCTGAGCCGGAGCCAGACATTTAACCAACTGAGCCACCAAGGTGCCCCAAAAGACTGACAATTCTTATTTATTTTCTGGCCAGTTCTCCATGAAAAGCAGTGAAGGGACAGAGACTTTGAGGAGGGCAGAGAGACTATAGGAGAGACAGAGAACAGGGAAGAGTCAGAAGCTGCCACTTCCCCATTGCTAAATTCTTGAAGGCGTGCCGGGGCTCTGAGCAGCAGAATTAGCCCATTCTGCCTGAGTTGCTCCTGATGCCATACCTGGAAAGGTGAAGGAGAACCCCCCCCCTACTGGTTGAGGGAAAGAACAAACCTTGTCCTTTGCAATTAGATTACTCCATTATCTTCCTCCTCTCCCCTTCCATTCCTTCTCCACTTGTCATGTTTAATTACAGGCTGTTCCCTAACCATTCTAGGTGGGTAGCAGTGGTGCTGTCTCTCTGCTTATAGCCCTGGGTCACCTTGTCTCCGGCGCATGTGATAATGTCTTTTTCTGGGAACATAAAAGGGACCTTTCTCTGTGAGTAGCATGAGATTTGGTCAAAATGAGATAGACACACCATCAAAGCTGCACACTTGTTCTTTTGGGGTAGAAAGGAATCTCTTCTGCTCTTATGAAAATTGTGATTATTTTATCTCCAGTGTCACAGGGCTTTGCTGCCTTGAGTTAAGGCCCTGGTCACCATATACCTCTTGAAGGGATAGGGTTTTCAAAAAATTTGGTGCTTAGTACTACTACTGTCTTGGATCAGATAGTGCAAATCCCAGCTCCAGCACTTTACTAGTAGTGTGACCTAAGACAAGCCGAATCTTTCAAAGCTTTGAGTTTCTCCTCTGTAAAATGGAAATGGTTATACTCCCTCCCTCATAGGGTTGTAAGGATCCAGTGACCTCAAGTATAAAGGGTCTGGTCCACAGGAACCATTCTAGAAATGGTAGCATGATCATCAGTGATAGGTGGCATTACCATCCCCAGATGACCAAGTCTGCCTTGAGGCAAGGAGTTGGCCAGCGTTCTCACTGCGGTCTTTTCCCTTTGCCAGTGACTTGCTGTCTCCTGACTCAGTCCTGAGCTGTTTGTATCCAGGGGACCATGGAAAGAAAACTCCAAATCCAGCCAATCAGTATCAGTTTGATAAAGTTGGGTGAGTCAGCAGTGTTTCCTCCTCTCCCAGCCTCTCTGCTTTGGAGTGTCTCCGGCAGCTCACACCCAGCTTTGGAGACCTGTTAGGGCCAGAGACCTCTCAGTGGGGAGGAGAGACTCTGGGGGCAGGAGGGAGTGTGGTATCAAGAGAAGGGAATGCAGGGGCAAATGGAGGTCATGGTGGAAGGGTGAGGAAGGGTGGAAGGATCAAACTTGAAGGACGTGATAACACGTGATACAATAACATGGTTTATCATTTTAATTCTCTGAGAACTAAAAACTTTAAAAACATTTTAAAAATTGGTAGGCTGGTGAAGAGATCAAGGGCACTGCCTTTGTATTGAGATTTGCTTATGAGTTGGTGGGGGGGGCGCTGGGAAGAGAAAAGCAAACATGGGAGAGGTGAAGTTCACAATAGGGAGATGATGAAGTTTAGAAGCTTTGCTGGCAGTCTGGCTTTGAGTGTGGCTGAACCTGCAGGACCAGCTCATTTGGGGTGGTGGGGAGGGGGGGAGGATAGGAAAGGCTGTATCCTGGAACCACCGCAGAAAGGACTTATAAAATCATTTTACGCTGTGTTCTTTTCTGCAGCATCCTGACTTTGAGAGACTACGTACTTGACCTAGGTCACCCCTATTTGTGGGTACAAAAGCTGGGTGGCCTCCACTTCCCCAAAGAGCAGCCCCAGGTGTGTACACTGACCCATTCTCCTTGGCTGAGGATCTCTACTTCCTCATCTCCTGTACAGACTCCAGAAAGGCTTCTGATGGCCTTTGGGGGCTTTAAATTATCAGAATGCTTTCCCTTCAGGCTATGATCTGTCCTCCCTCCACTCAGGATACTAAAATGTCTGAGGCCTACAAGTGTTTAGGTACCTTTTGCCTTCGCCCTGAGCCTAATAGCTCTCTTTTTTTTTTTTAAGATTTTATTTATTTATTTGAGAGAAAGAGAGAGAGACAGAGAAACAGCATGAGAGGGGAGAGGGTCAGAGGGAGAAGCAGG